TGTATTATATATATATATTAGCATAGGTCAAGGTAAAGATACACTCTAAAAAATAATGTTTTGGCTCAACAAAAAAAATTAACGCAACAGTTTGCATCAAGCTTTTTAAGTTATGACAATGTCTGGTAAAATTAAGTTGAAGCAACAAACTACATTGCATTGAGGTAATTAGCTTTTCTGATAGAAATGAATGCATTTTTATTTACCGCCAACTTAATTACTGGCATTATAAACACATGTTTTTAAGTTGAGTACTTAAACATATTAAGTTAATTCAAATAGTTTTTCCAGTTTTTATAAGAAACCTTCAAGTCACGTGGACTTAATTGCTACAATTATGAGCAAGTTTTTTAAAGTTAAAAAGCAGTTAAAAATCAAGTTGATCCAAATTGATTTTCTGTATTAGTTTTTAGCTTTTTTTTTTTATGCTAGCTTTCAAAAATGAATTAATCAGTTTAGGCTTACACTAGAATGTGTTGCAGAAACCCCGCAATCTGTGTGCATTTCGCGCACCGCATTCAAATCGCACTACCCTTGCAGTCTGCAGTGGATGTCAGTGTTGCAAACACAGTGCATTTGCCGGCACCAGATTGCATGGTACAAAACAAAACATGCAATCTGGTTGCACTGTGGTTCAAAAATTGGTGCATGCATGTCTTTGGTGCGATGTGGTGTTATTTGAGCTCATTCAAAATGAATGGGCTCAAATTGCATTACACTGAACCACATGTGAATTGCACAGGAATGTGTTGCAGTTCCTTTGTGATTCACATGCACTTCATTGTGTGAACCAATGTCATCTGAGTATGACTGTGCTATGGAACACATACGTTCTTCAGAGAATACTGTACTTGAGACCCATTACTTTAGCACTGGCTTTCAGTCCATCAAGTTCAAGGAACAGTTTTTGAAACAATTGAGACTTGATTTGTGTTAAGTGAATGGGGGTGCAGACTTGCAATGCAGCTCTCAATGTAGAGCAAAATTAAGTTACCAAGTCAAATTTATTAAGGTACCTGAACTTAAATTTCATTGTACAACAATGAATGCAGAAATGTAACTGTACATGACACACAATATTAAGTTGATGTAATTTCCAACATTATCATTTCAACACAACTCATGAAAGTAGGTTTTTAAATGAAAAAGTTTATTTAAACCAATAAATTAGGATTTTTATCTTGGAAATACACATTTAATTAAGTGGTGGTAACAGGTCGCTTGAGTTATTTTTTAGAGTGTATATACTGTATATATATATATATATATATATATATATATATACACACACACACACATGTCTGTGTGTGTATGTGTATATATATATATATGTGTGTGTATCTTTACCTTGACCTATGCTTTAATTTTCAGCAGCGATCATAGGTTACAGTCATACAGCACAAAGTGCCATCTCGTGGTTGTATCTTTTTTTCTGCAGCTCGGTGAACATTAGCTATCATCATGTGTTGCATAGTCCCATCTACTGGCTGTATAGCAGTATGCATCTGAACATGGCTAAAGTCATAGAGTGAGCGCTGCAATCTGTTAGTTGTTCATTAGTTTTCTGGCTATATGGACACTGATTACAACCACACAACTCCAGATGTACAGTTGGTTTTCACTTGCTTGCAGTCAGGCTGCTTGTGCTTAGTCTGTGGAATCAATTGCATTCTATAAGATCTGTGGTGCAGCATGTCATTTAAAAGTAAATTAAACTTGTGTATATTAAGGGTTCTTTCACACAGGCATTGAAAATAGGCAGTTGTGATTTTTTTTTTCACTGCTTCCTGACCACCTATCAACACCACTTGAAATTGCCAAAATGGGGAGCCGATGGAGGTGTTCACACTGCAACGTTAATGTTGTCTGATGTTGCGACGAGGCAAAAATATATTGCTGCTTGCAGAGTTCAGCAGGCATTGATGATTTGCAATCGCATCCATTCACTTCTACTGAAGTGTATTTGGCGTTCAAGTTTAAGAAGCTTGAGTTTAACTTTAAAGCTGGGGAAGAAACAGTAGCTGGTGTGGATTTGTGGAGAGGGCAGAACATTACTCCCACAGTACACAGAAGATGGAAGTGCAATTATTTTAGTAAATATAAACTGCCAAATACCTTTTCTCATCAGCAGTTAGAGCAGTCTTGTGACTTCTATCAGTGTCCAGCCTAGCACTAGCTAAAGCTTGTAGGAGGCGTTTTCTTTCTGCTCTAGGAGGATGCAAAACTGCTGACCTCTGTCTGGGCAGTGCTGATTGGCCCTGTGCTAATCACATGTACTCTCCCAAGGAAAACCAAAACCTCTCTAGCAATACACACCAAACTGAGCATGTGCATGCCTACGGTTCAGTCTGGAGATAAGAGGTGGTCACTTGAAAAAGGGGAGTAACAGAGAAGAAAGGATCGAACAGCCTTTTTACACAATGCAGAGGATTAACCCCTTAGGTTGCACAGTGAGTATAACAAGCATGCTTTACTGCATATACAGACTGATTTTACTGTTGTGGGTTTAGAAACACGTTAATGCCCAGTTTGCATGAGGGCTAAATGCCACCAAAAGTAGACTCTTTCTGTATCAAGAAAAATATGTAAAATTAATTTGGGTACAAAGTTGCATGACCAAGTAATTGTTAATCAAAGTATATTGATGCTGAAAATGGAAAAATGGACAGAAAGGGAGTTAAACATGTCAGTCTTCAAGTATGTAAATCTAAACCAGGAGAGTTAATTTGGAAACTTATCATACATATAATTGGGGTTAAAACTGGTAAGTGACAAGCAATTCTGTTTTCAACTTGTTATACTGTATACGGAATCCTGTACTCAGAAACACATATTTGCTTTGTACTACTTAAAATGGTTGTAAAGACTCAAGGTTTTTACCTTCATGCATTCATTCTATGTGTAGCACTACCCTCATAAGGGCCGCTGGATTTGTTTTGGGTCCCCCTATGTCTGCACAGCCAGACAACATGCATGTTCCATATTTTGCAAACTTGTCAGTAAACAGTCCTTAAGCTGGTTTTTATTGTTTTTTTTTTATTAAGGGGTTAACAGCTTGGATGGGGCCTAAGGGTATATGGGATGCCAAAGGAACTGAAAAACTTGAGGACAAACTTCTTAGCAACAAAAACTGTACAAAAATTTGGATCAGAAAGATAGCTCTTTAAGGAGCTCGGATGAATCCTTCTCTTCACCTAGCTGCACTGAGGGTATCACTGGGCAAGGGGCCCCAAGAGCTAGCATTGAAGTAGTCCCAGTTGAGAACTAGTTGGGCCTTGCATCTGACTGCCCTTTCCCGTTTCCAGCCCAGGGGGTGTAGGAGTACTCACTGTGTGTTGGTGGCTGCCTTCAGGCCTTACGCTGGGCTGGCTCCTTCCCTGCTGCACAGGCTGTCTTCCCTAGGAGAACAGTGGAGATCCTCCTTTCCAGCAACTTGCCTGTAGGTAGCTCCCCATCCCAGGTTCTACATTCCAGCCTTCCCTTCAGTCCATCTTCCACCCAACACTGCACACTGCTGTACAGGCTCTGCCATATTTAAGGGTTGTCCTTGGTCACCTCGCTGGCCTCCTGCCAGGGGGTTGGTGAAGATCCCTTGAACATGCAGATCTAGGCCCCCTCTTCCAGAAAGTTCTCAGTGTTTCTGGAAGGGTGGGAGGGCTCCAGAAGCCCTGACCTGTACAGCCACCCAGCCTGTCCTGAGTTGAACACACTCCACCTCACTCCCAGACTGACTAATCCCAGGCTGCTACCAAGCCTCTGTCTAACAAAAACAACTAAGCCTATCTAGCTAAACGCAGAGGGTGCTACATATGCATGAAGGTAAAAAACCATCTGTGTGCAGCAGCAGCCCCCAGACCCCCAATATCTACATATGCCCCATCTTGATCTAGTGATGTGCACCTGGCTGTCTCGGGTCTCTCCCTCCTCATTGGCTGAGACAGCAGCAAGAGCCATTGGCTCTCAATCACAGCCAGTGAGCCAAAGAGCAGAGAGTGGGGGCAGGGCCAGCTGTGGCTCTGTGTGTGAATAGACACAAAGAGCAGCATCTTGGGAGTGAGCCTGCTCAGGTGCCCCCATAGCAAGCTGGAGGGAGGGGCTTTAATACTATAATTTAGTACTGCTAGGCATTTTTACAAAGAAAAGAAAATTCTGGCAGTGCTAGACTTATTTTCCAGGGTTGCTAATAATATTTATTATAGGATCCAAAATGAATGACACTAATGGATGAGAAACACAATTGGCCAACTGAACGAGATAAGCATTTTAATGAATATATTGTTATACAGTCATTCATGAAAATTTACATTAGCCAAAATCAAACACAAATTAGGTAATCCATCCAAAATAAATACTTTGCCTGTGATATTCAAGTCTAATATTTAGCTGAACTATAAAATAATGTTGAACTCAAGGTGGTCTAGCCCAGGATCCTACCCAACTGGTGACCGGATAATGAAGAGGAAGCAGTATGCTTAGATAGATATTACTATATTACAGAGGAAACCAGTGCAGCTCTGATTGGCTCAGAGTGCTGACCCTTCTACTCCCAGGCTAAGTGGTGTCCTTCAAGGGACTACCGATACCAAGTCCAAGCTTTCTATAAAAATACATTTGATGAATGCATAACATTAAACAAATTAGACATTTAAAATGACTGGAGAAAGTGAGAGAGTGTGTAACATTTCTAGGGAGAGTTCCTAGGGGTTCATTTATAATAGAAAGCATATCTCTATCTACTCTGTGGTATGCATTGCTAGGTTATTCTGTTATTCTAGTTATTCAGCCTGCAGAAAATCTCTATGATTGGAGGGGATCCTGTCTAGTCACATGACCAGGCTCACCCCTTATGTTTTTTTACTCCTTCATTTTGATAGTGCTCCAATGGTTTTGGAGCTCTAAAGCCAGCAAAGTTATGGCCACATTCATAAAGCATAAGTCTGTGCTTTACAAATGTACCTTTTTTAGGAAGGAATTAGACTACTGTTTTTTAAAAGCACCCCTTAAAGTTTCTCTTTCGAGAGAGATTTAAAGAACACTGCATACTCGGTTTCATAGGCTTCACTCATCACATATAGCTTGTGATCATTGGGGTTGTAGGATAAACTTTGAATGTTGTCAGTCATCTTGTCCATCGAGATGCTTATTCTAGCCTCTTTTTCAGTGTTGGTGTCATACATGTAAAATATCTCTTCCTGTCGAGTGTTGGTAACTCGTGTGGCATACATGGTCCCACAAGCCATAAAAGCATTGGACATACTAGGTTTGTAGACTGTGGTGGTCCATGTTTTTATTAGTTCAAGAGTACTGGAATTCAGCTTTCCAATAACCATATTTCCTTGAGCTTCTTCTGTTGAAAAAAGAACCCAAAGGCCATTTTCATCACTGGCCATGTCTATGTCTTGATACTGAGAAAAAGAGTAGGGGAATCTATTGTTGTAGGCTGCATTTGGGAGGGTCTTACGCTCTAACTTGTTTGTGACCATGTTATGCTTGCAGATGTCTCTACTATTGTAGCAATTATAATACAATGAATTGTTATACAATATCATTCCAGCTCCATTGCCAGAATCAGATGCAGTTTTATCTTGGTAGTTTTTGTACAGCAGGAGGTCATCATAGGAGTTGTATAGCCGTACACTACTGAAATAATTCAGTGCATTGTTTTCAAGCATCGACGCCCAGTATCCTTTTTCAGTTGATCCAAAAAATGAATCTTTGCCCCATCCACCAGCTTTGTAGCCAGATCCTCTCCAGTTCAGCTGGACCACAAGTGGCTTGCTAATATTCATGATCCCACCATGTTCACAGGAGCCTGCAAGTTGGAACATCAGTATGTTAGCTGTGCATATGTTGTTTATTGTGTTGTCATAAATTGTCCAAACATATTTAAAATTGTTTTCCTACCATAAGACATAATCCCCCTTACCATGACATCAAAGACTCAACACTGAGTCTTTCCTGATAATAAACATGAAGCTATAGAAAACACTGATAATAACATTAGGGGTATAGAACTAAATATATAATGTGTAATTGTCCTGTATGCATTATTAAAAAACATAACTTTATTTAAATCTGCTCTGGTCATCACAAAGACCAATGTATGGCCTATAGCCAGGGCTAGTGTTAGACTATTTTGCACCTTGGCAAGGCTAGCTACTTGCACCCCCCAAAAAAAAACTTCACCTGTAGTTCTACTTCACCCCTCCTAGTACACATCCTCTTTGCCCTCAAATTTTCCCCCTTGCACAAATCATCTCCCCCAAATCCCCCTTCCTAATATAAATCCCCCCTCCTAACACAAATCAACCCCCCATCCCCATCTCTTATCACAAATCCCCCCCAATCCCCTCTCCTAGTATAAATTCCCCCACAAATCCCTCTACTAACACAACCCCCCGCATCCCACCACCTAGTACAAATCCTCCCCCAGTCCTCCCTCCTAGCACAATTCCCCAAATCCCCTTTCCTAGCACAAATCCTCCCCAATTCTCCCTCCTAACACAAATCACCCCCATTCCCTCCCTTAACACAAATTCCCCCAATCCCCTTACACAACCCCTCCCCAATCTCCCCTCCTAACAAAATTTCCCCATCCAATCCCCCTCCTAACACTATTGCCCTCCTCCCAGCACCAATCCTCTTCCTTCAATCCCTCCACGTAGGACAAATTCCCCCAAATCCCTCCTCTAGATAAAATCCCTCCAAATTATCCTTCCCAGCATAAAATCCTCCCACTTTACCCAAATTCCCCCTCCCCCCAAACCTCCCTCCCACTCCTAGCACATATCCCCCCATTCCTTCTCCTAGCACAAATCCCCCCCCCATCATCCCCATTACTCTTCTCAGCGTAAATAGCCCCCATCCCCCCTCCTGCACAAACCTTTCATCTCAGCACAAATGATTGTTACCCCCCCTTTCATTGTGTACAGTTCCTCTGACCTGTAAGTTCCCCCCCTTCCGAGATAACAGGCAACCATGTAGAGGTGCAGGTTGTGTTCTCACTCCTGTCAGTGGAGCAATCCGTACAGCAGATTGCAAGAGTACAATCCCAACGCACATGTTCCTGCGTGTGGCTGTGTGTATAAGTGGGTGCTGCAGCAACCATCAGCTGGAACCGAACAGAATCAGCAAGGGAGAATGTCACCAGCACACCGAGGATTACCAATATGGGTCCAAAAGTTTTAATGAATGATCACATAGTTACAGCAAGGCAATGTTTCAGAGTCACGCAGGACCACTTCATCGGGCATGTGACTGAAGGAAGACCGAGGGCTGGGCCCACAGATTCAGAGGGTACACGATGCCACACAGACACAGACAGTGGTTCTTTTAAAACAATTACGTTTACTGAACAGTTATAGTGATCATGTAGTTGAGCATACGTAAACAGAATGATAACAGCGCATAACCATACAGTAAGAATAATACTGTCTAACACTAACCCCGTACTTGCGGACTTTTCCCCAATGTCCAGAAAGCAGCCTGGCTGCGCCTGAATGTTCCTGAGCAAGATATAACATTGGGGTGCACCCTAAGTATTGCGCAATACTATTTGTAATCCAAAGGAAAGTGAAGTGTGTCTCTTGTAACTTTCTGGTATATCCAAAATGTCACTGACCACGTGTGGTGCGATGTGCTGCGGCAAAGCCGCACTTACGGTTCCCTGGCAGGCTCTTGGTGCTTTCTCCTGATCCACTCCGGAACCGGACCATACAGTCACTTGTTTCCTGGTCTCGTTGTGAATCTTCCTTAGGTGCCCTCGCCAGATTCCACTGTGAGCCGTAAATCCTCTTCCAGCCCCACACAGGTTCTCCAGATGTCCTCAGCATCCAACAGCCAGACCCAGCCTTCACTTCCTCCTCAGCACAGGAACTCCTCCCCTTCCCATAGAGTTTGTGATGCAGTAAGTCATTTCTTAATTGCAGCCTCAAACCTGCATTTACAATTCACTATGACCCTTCTGAGGGTCCTACTCGGCCCCTAAATTAGTATTCATTAAACTTTATAGGGTAAATAAGCATTTATCTTGTCTTAGCAAAAGTCACTACAAAATCGATTCTTGTACTTTGCTGCCATCTACTGACCAAAGAGCATATTGCAGTTTAACATTACACACCAGTATTAAATCCATGCGTCACACCCTTACATGACGAAGGAACATGGCTGATGAAGGGGTCCCTCGAGACTCCAAAATGTTGCCTTGCTGTAACTATGTGATCATTCATTAAAACTTTTGGACCCACATTGGTGATCCTCGGTGTGCTGGTGACATTCTCCCTTCCATACAGCAGATGACACAGGATTACTCCTGAATTGGGCTTGAAACAGTTTGATTGCCACGCCCCCTATCATCTCCAATGACTGCTCATCTCTCGGCAGTAGGTAGCCAGGGAATGAATCAAACACTAAACATGTTGATGTAAGAGCAATCCTGTGTCATCTGTCGCTCCACTGACAGGAGAGGAGAGCACAGCCCGCATCTCCTGGCTCTCTCCTGTCATTTCTCCTTTGCAGGCTTCACTGCTCCAGATTACTCTCCCCTTGTCCTAGCTGTGAGTGTGGGGGTGGCTGAAGGCACTCATCCACGGAAAGAGCAGCCTGGGGGTAAACAACTAAAATCTGTAGGTGTGTAGCCCACTGTATTGGACATAAGGATGATGAGAAATAGGCCACCTCCAGAGTGTAGGAGCGTAGGAGAGCTGTTGGATCTGGGAAGTAAAACTGCTTTTCCCATCCCCTAGACCTAAAAGAGCATTTAACCCTTGTAGTGTGGGGAGGAAATTTACTTTGCAAACAAAAAAAAACAACCTCCGAGCTCAAGAAAAATGTTCCGGTAATAGTGAAGCACCGATCTTTTGCTACTTCACTATTTGTAAGACTTTGCAGCCCCTGAGGACTGGGGAGATAGAGGGTGCACCAGCCTTGCACATTACCTTTGTGATAACATTTATTGATGTGTTAAAAGAGATTTATACTCACAAACAGCATAAAATTGTAAAGCCCATCAATATCCAGTGACCTGCATGATCTGGTCCAGTGCGTGAGTCCCAAACAAACTAGATCATATCATAAAGGTAATGCACACAGCTAGTGCGCCCTCGGTTCTTGTCTTTTCAGGAAATTTACTTTTTCTGGAGCTAGGCTTTAAGCACGAATTTGTCAAAAACAAAAGTGCTGAGTGCTTTTACATTTTAAATGTTTAAATAAAAGTTGTTTTTATAAAATTTGCTACAATGGTTACACGTACAGTATAAGGAACCTCTACATTCCTTCAAACACATATTGGAGTTGATTTACTAAAATTGGAAAGTGCAAATCCTGGTACAGCTTTGCATAGAAACCAATCGGCTTCCAGGTTTTTTGTCAAAGCTTGATTGAACAAGCTGAAGTTAGAAGTTGATTGGTAACCATGCACAGTTTTACCAGATTTTGCACTCTCCAATTTTAGTAAATCAACCCAGTTGTGTTCCCTGGAAACCCTGAAATCCAGGGGACTCTAATATGCAAAGTTAAGAGAGAAGTATGGCCAAAGCTTTTTTTTAGTCATACTTTTCTTCTGGATCACAGGAGTTAACCTACTTTTGCACTCCTGCAAGACAAAGTTGGTTAACATCTGGCTATTGTCACTATCAGGTGTAAACAGACAGGCAGTCTGTTTATATCCGACTGTCCATAGAGGAGAGCAGAAAGCATTTGTATCTGCTCTGCATAAGCGGAGTGGACATGGACCAGCCATCTGCCTGCTCAGCAGTGATCAGTGGACAGATCTCCTGCTGAGCAAGTGGACTCCTGGCAGAGACCAACCTGTATCAAAGAGGCTAAGAAAATACAGTAGAGCACTGGTCAGCAACCTTTTGCAAATAAACTTCTTTTTTTGAAAGCATCAGACCACTAGCTTGAAACTGAAGGATAGCAATCCACAGTCTTGGTTTTCAGTGTTTGCACTCACAGTTGCATTGCTAATGGCAAGTTAAACTCATTAAATATTGTACACAGCCCTACATCATCACATAAAGAGCTTAGAATAGCTCTAATATTTGTACCCCTAGACCTCAGTTCAGACCCAATTTCTGCAATTCAGACCTTAGATCAACCCCAGTTTCTAATCTTTATGACATTTAGATCTAAGATCACCCAGGAATCATATAAGAAAAACTGTTGCTACAGATGGTCTCCTGAGGAAGTCACGTGACATGACGTAACGCGTAGGGTGGGCCGATGTCGTCAAGCCGCTAAACTGGAAGTTTACGAGCTGCCATCCTGGATTTTCCTGAATGAATTGGATTCGTATTGTGACAGGCGTTTTTACTGTGGTGTCACAGCAGGACACTTTTAAATGTGAGTGCACTTAGTTATTTTAAATAAATTATAGAACATTTGAGTACTACACTATGGCAAGAGTTTTCTGTTTTCATATGCGGAGGATATGTGGGATAAAGAGGAGACAAGACCATCTGCAGCAGAATGAAGAGGAGATTGGAGCTAATATTACATTACACCTACCCAGGTTAAAAGGGAAAGGTGCTATTTTTGTCCTATGCAATTTGGGTCATATAAGGAGGTGAGAGTATATATGTATGTCTCTGGTGGAGGAGCACCTTTAAGAATATATGTGGACACAAGGAAAAAGGAGCACCTGTTTGGCACAAAGTTATATATGCGTGGATAAAATCACATATGAAGGACTATAAATTGTGGTCATTGTATTCACAAGTGTTTAAAATCACGTTTTTTGATGTACCTAGGAGATTGTGTATAGTATATAGAGATATTCAACTCTCTACTCTCTCTCACCCCCCCCACCTCCGCTCAGCACCTCACTCACTGCCCTTGAGATTGCCAATCACTTCAAAAACGAGATTGACACAATTCGCAAGGACATTGCCGCAACTCACACGCCCTCTCAACCCTTCCCCTCTCACACAGCTACCCCCTTATCCCCCCTCCCCCCTCGACATAACCCGCAGGGGCTTCGTCGCTGCTCAAACTCTCTCCAACCCCCGTCACCCTCACTCAGCTACCCCCTCATCACCCCTCTCCCACGGCCCCACCACTGCTCTGACCTCCTCTTCCACCCCACCCTACATTCCTCATACTGAAGCTCCCCCAACACTCCGCACCTTTGACCTTACTACCATCGAGGAAGTCTCCAAGATCCTTTCTGATGCCCGCCTCACCACCTGCCCCTCGACCCTATCCCCTCACAACTCCTACGACCTCCTTCCCCCTCCATCCTACGCTCCCTCACCCACATCTTCAATCTCTCCCTCTCCTCCGGCACTTTCCCCTCCCCTCTGAAACATGCACACATCACCCCCATACTTAAAAAACCCTCCCTGGACCCTAATGACCCAAACAACCTCAGACCCATCTCCCTGCTCCCATTTACATCTAAACTCCTCGAGCGCCTAGTCTACACCCGCCTATGCTCTCACCTCAACGACAACAACCTCCTCGATCCCCTACAGTCCGGCTTCCGGCCCTACACTCCACCGAAGCTGCCTTACTCAAACTCTCCAACGACCTGCTAACCGCCAAAGCTAATGGCCACTATTCAGTGCTCCTACTCCTTGACCTCTCTGCGGCCTTCGACACAGTCGACCACCCACTCCTCCTCAAAAAACTACACTCCCTCAGCCTCAGAGATTCTGCTCTCTCCTGGCTCTCATCCTACCTGTCACAACGCTCCTTCCTATAATGCTACCACCTCCCCCTCACTCCCCCTCTCTGTTGGGGTCCCTCAAGGCTCTGTCCTCGGGCCCCTTCTCTTCTCCATCTATACCTCCTCCCTTGGCCAACTCATACACTCTCACGGCTTCAACTACCACCTCTATGCGACGACACACAAATCTATCTCCCAGCCCCCCACCTCACCCCCTTGGTCTCAGCCCGAATCACACACCTACTGAGCGACATATCAGACTGGATGTCACTCCACTTCCTTAAATTGAACCTCTCCAAAACCGAGTTTCTTGTCTTCCCCCCCCCCAGCCCGGACACCACCCCCCATTGACTTCTCCGTCACATCCAACAACGCTACCATCAAACCCGCCCTGCAGGCCAGAGTACTTGGTGTCATTCTGGACTCTAACCTATCCTTTCAACCCCAAGTCCAATCTTTAACAAACTCGTGCAGACTCCACCTGCGCAACATCGCCAAAATACGCATGTTCCTAACCCCAGAAACCACTAAACAGCTCATCCACTCCCTCATCATATCACAACTCGACTACTGCAACTCCCTCCTCACTGGCCTGCCTCGCCGCTGGCTATCCCTGCTTCAGTCGATCCTGAATACGGCTGCCAGACTCATTCACCTTTCCAACCGCTCTGTCTCCGCCACCCCCCTCTGCCAATCCCTCCACTGGCTTCCGATTACACAACGGATCAAATTCAAAATCCTAACGCTGTCGTACAAAGCTGTCCACCATACTGTCCCGAACTACATCACTGACCTAATATCCAAGTACCGCCCCAGCACGCACACTCCGCTCCTCACAAGACCTCCTTCTCTCTAGTTCCCTGGTCTCCTCCTCCCATGCCCGCCTCCAGGACTTCTCCAGGGTGTCACCCATCCTCTGGAACTCCCTGCCCCAACCCATCAGATTATCACCTACTCTCCTCTCCTTTAGGCGCACCCTGAAAACCCATCTCTTCAGGGAAGCCTACCCCACCCCCTGCTAACTTGCCGACCTCCTCCACTCTTCCTACCACTCCATCCCCCACAGCTATCTCCTCCTGTGCCACCATCCCCTCCCTCCTAGATTGTAAGCTCGAAAGAGCAGGGCCCTCAATCCCCTCATGTTTTGCATTGTATTGGTATTGTTCTGTCACATGTTCTGTCCCCCTTTGTAATGTACAGCGCTGAGCGAACTATTGGCGCTTTATAAATACTGTATAATAATAATAATAATAATATATGCGTGGCACTAACATTTACCACTAAATGGTCTTGTGTTTATTTCCTGGTGCTAATTCACAGCGGAGTTAAAGGTTTCTATATTTGTGTTCTTATAAGTGCTTGCAGTAACTTTCATTCAACCAGGTGTATGAGAGGGGCTGATGGAGTTCTTGGAGTTTAGGAGCAGAACAGAGAACCCTCATTACCAAGCGGCTCCAATGCGGTTAGCTCTACATACATAAACAGATGTAAATTAAATATGATTTGTTTCCCATTCCTTTCTTTTTTCATAAATTAGTGTACCACCATGTTCAATCATGCTGACTGGCTGGGGGGGGGGGGCCAGCATGAGAATGTCCTCAGTTAACGGCTGTTTTCAATGAGGTCAAGGAGGTGGATGCACCAGGTTTTGGTTACTGACAGCCTACAGAACTGTGAATTACAGACAATGTCTTGGTGTGCAAGCAGAGAAGGCTTCATGCGCCCACCTGTGCACTCATGTTGGGGGTTGCCAACCTCTGAAATAGAGGATAACGTGTTAATAGAAGCCTATAGCTCCACCTGCTGGCAATCCTACAACACGTTACCTTTACATTTGTACTGATGTTCTGTGTGTGCATTGAATTCTATTGTGAGTTCATACTCTGTGCGAAGATAGAACCAAGTGGCTGTAGGGTGAGATGAGCTGCACAGCTGATATTTTGCAGGTAAGGTAAGTATTAGACAGTATACGTGACTTGGAGCCCTACAAAAAATATGTAACTATTCAGTGGAGTTCAGATTGGGAAAGGTAGAAGCAGCATAAGGAGCCAATTGGGTATACTCATGTGCTAACTAGGTGCTTATTGATAACAGGAGGGAGCAGAATGCCAAAGAGTTAAGTGGGTCTACTGCTTTTCCTTCACTGTCCAATTATAGGCTGGTGGTGGGATGCTGAGGAAGACCTGTTTTACTTATAGTACTTGCAGTAGAGAACAGTCAGATATTTAGGCTGGTTCTATTGTCTGGATGCACTTTGTAAATCCCAAGCAAAAAAATACAGAAATACAAATTCTTTGACAGATAAAATAGCTCTTGTATATCCTTGTATTTAGCTGTCTGCCTGGACTTCAGTTTCCAAGAACAGCACCTGGTAAACACCAAACTTACCATACTCCACTTGAAAAGGTGACTGCTGTGTCTGATTATGCTTACATTCCTCTAAACGTCTTTGTAAGGAAGCAATTTCCCTTCGGACTGCCAAGACATTGTTTTTATCATAGTTTTCCAGTTGGTTCACCGTGACAGAGATGTTGTGAACCTAAGATTATAGAAAAAGATAAACTGATTTACAACAGACAGGTAAAAAAAAAAAATCACAAAGTTCCCTCTTATTCCGTATGGGTCCTATGGGCTCCTGAATGCCCTCCAATCACAGAAGCGAACCAATGAGATTTATTATTTATTTTTATAAATGGCGGCGTGGGAATTTCTGAAAGCTTTCTATGCTGCCCTTTATATTACATGATTTATCCTAAAGAATAGACTTCAGTGATTTTTAAAGTCATCATGACAGGAAGCAAGGGAAGATCTCCAACAGCGAAACAGGCTGTAATAAAAGGTCTAAACCTTATGGACTCTATCTAAAATTAAAAAATTTTAAAAAATACTAATAGTAGTGGGAGTCTTAATTTTATGGACCCCACCAAGGGATCATTTTTATTTTTGCCACAGCACATCACACCCCCCCATCCTGCTGCCCCAACACCCCCAGAGCCATTGGTGGTAAAATTGCTAAAGGTAGGTGATTACTGGAACCGATCCCCTGTATGGCTTTCTCTGCAGCATATGAAAGCTGGCTTCTTATCTTCTCCTTTCCGCTAGCTTTCAGCTGCTGCAGAGAGAGCCATACATGGGAACGGTTCCAGTAATTGCCCCTCCACCACACCTATCACCCTCTCTGTGTACCATAAGTTTTCCTCTGTTGCCCAGCCTCCCCCCATGTGCCCCACTCCTGCAGCTCTGCCAGCTTCTCTCCTCTCCCTCCCATCGGCAGCTGCAGGCACACAATAGGATCCTTCAGTATAGAGAGCAGGGGAAGAGTTAGGTAAAGATGTTGCATTTACCAGCCCCTTCCATTCCTGTATGAACACAGCTTCATAACTGAAGCATAGTAAACTGTGTGTTTTGTTTTTTGTTTTTTTTTGGGGGGGGGGGGGGGTGCTGTCAGGCTGGCTGTATTGGGAACCTTGGGCCCTGACTGCAGCAGCGTGGTGTATGGTATGGAACACTTCCATATCAATGGCTCTTTAATTCTGAATATAGAAGAAAGATCACCTACCTCTGCATACAGTGCTTCCACTTTCTCATTAGACCCATTCAGTGAAGCTCGGAGCTCCTGCACTATGGCCTCCATTTGTGTGATCTCTGTCTTTATCAGTTCAAACTCAAGTTCAGTGTAGGCAACTCTTCCCATCTGCATGATCTGCACTCTTCTTGTCAAGTTCTTCAACATTTCAATGTGCACATCTATTTTTCTTTGGTAGGCTTGAAGCTGGCAAATTCAGGATGAATTGTGGAAGTGAAACAAAAGTGTGTGGTTGACAAGTTAGCCAATTCTGAACTGATATGTCCTGTTTTGTTGCACATAAATGAACTTAATCAACATCAAATTCCTATATTCTGTGAGTGGCTCCAACAGTTTCTCCAGTTGCTCCAGCCTCAGCTGCCACTATTATATAGCCAAGTAATAGAGTCTCACTCTCCTTTCTGCATCCTCTGTAGTGTAAGTGTAAGTGAATGAAGTGAGAATCCAGATGTAAATGTGAGACCTGAGATATGGCTGCTGCAGCAGGAAGACAGTGGTGGGACCTCACATGCATTAATTTTTCTCATATACTCCTAACTTTTTTTTTTATTTTGGATAGAGTGAGAGTTATAGCCTATGTCCTGTTTTTTGGGGGGATCAGTGTCTCATAGGGAAGATTTCTCTTAACTTCCTGTCCCGTAGCCAAACAGGAAGTGAGAGCAAATCCCTCCAAAATGAGGGAAACCCAGGGTGTCACCAGGGTCATCAGAACTAGTGTCGCCTTTGCAAGACGTCCCTATAATTACCAGTGTCAACCCAAATTTGGGAGTTTCTTTTTCATTCCCTTTCAATGATAATGGTAGACAGGACAAATAGAGACAGTGAACTTCCCTAACGGGGACACAGACAGCAATAAAAACTGTCAGGTGTTCTAATCCCTCTCCATTCTATCAAAAATGTTAAAAAAAAATTTAAATTACACTTGTAATTAAACATGGAAATAAAACCAAAGTGAAACAGTAGCTTGCCTTCCACTCGTTCCATTGGCATCATCCTTTCCTCCTTATTTTTTATGATCTTTATTTTTATTTAACTGGTGATCCTACCAATTTCTTGTATTCTGATCCTAGGGTGATAGTGCTGCCTGAACAGCACCATAAGCAACAGTCGTGTTTATACCCCAGGATGTGTGCTCCTTTTGGACTCAAAGCCAATGGACAGCACACCAACATGTACAGCTTAGAATACACAGGGATAGCAAGGCATTATGAGCTGTTCACATCATCACTAGACATGTGTGGTTTGCTTTGTTCCCAGTTGAAATTCGTACTAAATTTTCATTTTGAGATTGCAATGTATCCAAATTTCTGAATTACAATAGTAAGGAATTTAAATGAAACCGAAATAACAAAATTAAATTTTGTCCAAAATATCGAATTATCCAAATTAAAACTGAATTCAAATAGAATTTGAATCGTATTCAAAATTAATTCAAAAACAAATTTGAAATGTAAACATACTATATTGCAGACTATTGCTGATTTCCTTCAAAAACTGTGTGTATTATAATATAGCCATCTACCGAAATTCGAATTTCAAAAAGAATAGAATAGAATAAAACAGAAAAAAGAATAGAAAATAAAAGACTAGAATAGAAAAAAAAAAAAATAGAATACAAAAGAAATAATATAGCTGTCTTCTAAAATTAGAATTTTAAAATTCGAATAGAATTTAATAAAATAGGAAGAATTCCCGCTTCTGCAAAGATGTGAACGGGGCTTGACAGCTGAGTGTCTCCATTCATTCCCTCCTATGTACTTGTATAAAGATGGCCATACACAATCTGATTGTATCATCTATCTACAATTTACTTTAGATTTTCCAGAGCTATGGAATAGGAGGACCCACTTATCTATCCAATCAGGCAGGCCCTTGCACTACATAGTTGATGGTAGATTTAAAGGAGATTTTACAATCAGGTTGTATAGTGTAGGTGAACTTTACAGAACCCAGAACACAATTCTTCTGTTTTCAATACTACAGCTGTATCCATATAGGCTGTTATCAGTTCACTCAGCACTTTCTGCCAAATGAATGATCTATACAAGATGACAGTTAAGGTGGAAAAAATAATAAAATTCGATGTCTGTGTATTTAGTGAGAACATTGATCACTGATTGATTGCATTTCATTTAATATTCATGCACCTGGAAGTGGGTAGGAGGTAGGAGGGTAGATAATGCAGGGAGTGCTAATCAGGTCAGCTGCTCAACTTCTTCCTGTGCCATGACCCAAAGTCTCTCCCGGGAGTAAGGCACAAGTAATAGAGAAGGTTTTTGGACAGCCATCTGGACAGCAAGATAAGGGTGTGCAGAAAAAATGGAAAGATTTTGAATTTCTACAAAAAAAGTAGATTAATGCTATATTGGTACATAGGGGAGCTGAAATTTGGGGGGAAAAAAAAGGTGAACGAAGGTGAACTTATCCTTTAAAACTTTCTGTTTTATTATAAATATTTTGGGAATATAATTGAAAATTACTTTTTAATGTAAAACATTTTAGTGTGAAAAATGATTCTCTGATGCAAAAACACTAGGTATGATATAGTCATTCCTTTTTTTGTGATTAGATCTGAGCTACCGATATTGATTGATAACATATTGTGAGCTGCAGATATAACTTTTAGCAAGGGTTCCCTGGGACCTGAAAATAATTTCAAGTGTTTCTTTGGGGTAAAAAAGGTTGAGAAAGGCTGGTATAGATAGTTCAATAAAACAAGATCTGTATCTAAAAATATGGATCATATATATATATATACAGGTATATATTTACGTGTGTTTCTATCTGTACCTGTGTGATCTCCTTTTGGAAGCTAAGACTTAGGTTATAGTTGGACTTTTCAAGGATTTCCATTCTGTCTGCTGGGAAGATGATGTCTGGAACATTGACAGAGCAGTAACAGATGCTTTCATTATTCAGATGCCCAACCACCGGACTATCCTAGAGAGTCAAAAAAGAATTATGCACCAATGGTAAAAATGTCTGCATTTCACAGCTGTGACACTTTCTCACCTCCTATCTGCTTATTGTACTGTTAGAGAACAATATTTGTGCCCACTCCGATCTTGACTAAAAGATTCGTCAACCTTGGTCCTTAAACTTTTACAATAAAGACAAACTGCATGACATGGGTTTAAATGGCCACAGCAGACCTTTTATTGACAAACGAATAAATAACATCAATTAAAACAATTTTAACAATGCAACAAGGAAAGGGGTCTTAGGGTGTCCTTAAGGTACACTTTATCACTGTAACCTCCCATGTCCTCAGCTGCACCCTGACCGGCCTCGAAGACGTTATGACCTCACATATTCTTACATTTTCCCCCGGGGGACCTAGTTCCAGGGATAACCACCAATAACTAACCAGGTGGAAGCAACATACCCTAGATGGGTCCCCAATCTGTAAAAATATAGTTACACACTGACCCCCAAAAACCCCATGACCCTCTAAACTGCTGTGACAATGTTCCCTATTTTAGTTTCCTGTAGGTTTGGTACAATTATTTGCCTATAAATGTGCACCCACAAAATCGTATCCTACAACCCCAAGAACACCAGGCACCCAGAATTTAGGGCGGGAGGGAAGTTTCCTCTCTCCAAAACTTTCCGGAATGAATACCCATTATCCTTTGCAGGAACCACCCTTGCGGCTCTGCCCTGCCCATCCAACCTTAGGCCTCCAATCAGGTAAGAACTACACCCCTTCACCACTAAACGATCCAGATTTTAACCTCTCTCTGAACTGTAGTTGTGCTGACCCTCCGTTCATTCTCTGTCTCTGGGTCGCACTTTCTCCCACTTCTAAGCCCACATAGATATTTCTACCTCATTACGGCCTTATTTAATTTTTCCTGTAGCATATGGGAACTATGAAAATCGATTTCAGGTATCTAAGCTAAGTGAACTAAAATGCAATAACAGTGATTTTTAACTAAATTAAACCACATCAGCTCCAGCGATGTACCTGTACATCAGTGGAGTGTGAGCTGTAATACCGGGATGATGCCTGTAGCTGCAGGCATCATCCCGGTGCCATTATTCACAGCCGACAGTTGGCTCTCTTGTATTAGCAATTGGAGCAGCTAACTAAACACTCTATCCCTCTTACAAGCAGCGGGAGGGGATGTCCTGCACTCCTACCACCTACAGTGGCTTTAACAGAATATCCCATCGCACCAAGAATCCAGATCGACCAGCCAGTGCTACCGCTGGCTGGTCACAAAGCCGAACTAAGACTGGATCGGCTTTGTTCGGTTCTGTTAAATAGTAACCCGGAAGTGATGACCTAACATTACTTCCAGTTTACTTGGAAATACACGGCACCATTTTTAAAAAGAAAACCATTCAATCACACCGATCTTGCTTTTATGGGCAGGGGAGGGATTTGGGGTCTTATTGACCCCAGATCCCGCCATAAAAAGTACCTGTCACCTGTCAACTGCCTATTGCTGTCACAAGGGATGTTTACATGAAAAGTGATCAAAATTTTTTTTTTGAAAGTGACAGTGTAACAAATAAATACATAATTAAAAAAAAATGAAAGTGCCACTGTCCCTCCATGCTTGTGCACAAAGTCGAACTCATGCATTGGTCTCTCGCACACACAAACTACAATACAGTACACACATATGAGGTATCACTGCGAACGTCAGCTCATGGGCTATAATTCTAGCCCTCTGTAAATCTAAAATGGTAACCTGTAAAGGCTTTTAAAGCATCACCTATGGATAGCAAAATTTACGTCGTTTGTCGCTGTTGTAGGGGTGTGCGCAATTTTAAAGCAAGACATGTTTGGTATGTACTGTATTTACTCAGTGTAACGTTATCTTTTATATTTTACAAAAACGTATGTATTGTGTTTTTTTGGACATTAAAATTCAAAAGGTGGATTTTTTTCCTCCAAAAACATTCAGTTTGGAAAACCGCTGTGCAAATACTGTGTGGCATAAAAAAAATTGCAAAGCCTACCAATTTATTCTCTAGGACTTTTGCTTTACAAAAAATATCTAATGTTTGGGAGTTCTGAGACAATTTCTAGCAAAAAATACTGATTTTGTATATGTAAATAAAAAGCACCAGAAAAGGCTTGATCTTCAAGTGGTTAAAGAATACATAAGTGAATTATGAGGTATTTTCATATATTTCCTAGAAGTTCTCATTTAAAGCCGACCTAAAGTACTCTATTTTCTAGAAATTAGGACTGGGACATGTTTTCCTGAGTCAAACTGGGATCCCATTCTAGATCCATGCTTCAACCTGGTTTGCTTACTGGGACATTTGAGTTTTAGACCCTCTTGTTTTGGTTGTAGGTCAGGATTCTGCCTCCCATTATTCAGAATTTTCTCTACTGCCCGTCAAACACCCCCAAGAGGGGGCAGAGTGGCTTCCCTAGCCTGAAGCAATTATAGTGTAATAACCAAGGTAAACAACATTTTTTCTAGAACCAAATTGTGATATGTCAAGCAATGAGTCATTATACATAAGCTATACATAGATCCAATGTGTTTAAACCTTCTATCCCATGTTTTCTTCCTTTTTGAAAACATTAAAAGAATTTATTTAAAAAGAATAGTCCCTGAATGAAAAAAAAAAAAAAAAAAAAAAAAAAAAAAATATATATATATATATATATATATATATATATATATATATATATATATATACACTATATTGCCATCAGAAGAACTTTAATGACATCCCAGTCTTAGTCCGTAGGGTTCAGTATTGAGTTGGCCCACCCTTTGCAGATATAACAGCTTCAACTCTTCTGGGAAGGCTGTCCACAAGGTTTAGGAATGTGTCTATGGGAATGTTTGACCATTCTTCCAGAAGCGCATTTGTGAGGTCAGGCACTGATGTCAGACGAATGTGCCTGGCTTGCAGTCTCGACTCTAATTTATCACAGAGATGTTCTGTCGGGTTGAGGTCATGGCTCTGTGCAGGCCAGTCAAGTTCCTCCACCCCAAACTTGCTCATCCATGTCTTTATGGACCTTGCATTGTGCACTGGTCTGCAGTCATGTTGGAACAGGAAGGGGCCATCTCCAAATTGTTCCCACAAAGTTTGGAGCATGAAATTGTCCAAAATGTCTTGGTATGCTGACACCTTAAGAGTTCCCTTCACTGGAACTAAGGGACCAAGCCCAACCCCTGAAAAACAACCCCACACCATATAATCTTCCCCACCAAACCTTACACTTGGCACAATGCAGTCAGACAAGTACCGTCCTCCTGGTAACTACGAAACCCAGACACGTCCATCATATTGCCAGACAGAATTCATCACTCCAGAGAACAGGTCTCCACTGCTCTAGAGTCCAGTGGTGGCATGCTTTACACTACTGCATACGCTTTGCATTGCACTTGGTGATGTAAGGCTTAGGTGCAGCTGCTCAGCCATGGAAATCCATTCCATGAAGCTCTCTACGCACTGTTGTTGTGCTAATCTGAAGGCCACACAAAGTTTGGAGGTCTTTAGCTATTGACTCTGCACACAGTTGGCGACGTCTGCACACTGTGCACTTCAGCATGCACTGACCCCGCTCTGTCATTTTACGTGGCCTACCACTTCATGGCTGAGTTTCTGTTGTTCCCAGTTGCTTCCACTTTGTTAAAATACCACTGACAGTTGGCCGTGGAATATTTAGTAGCAAGGAAATTTCACAGATGGACTTATTGCACAGGTGACAACCTATCACAGTACCAACAAATGTTTTTAGAAGCAGTCTGCATGCCTAGGTGCTTGATTTTATACACCTGTGGCCATGGAGGTGATTGGAACACCTGAATCCAATGATTTGGAGGGGTGTCCCAATACTTTTGACAATATAGTATATATATACATTTTTTTTATAATATACAGTTAGAAATTGTGAAATGTTGCCATTGATATTGAGAATATGACCGATCATGCCAAAAAACTGTTTTTTATTTAAGGATAGTGATCTTATGCAGCCAATTATAATCACATAGCTGTTTGTCTCCTTTTTAAATTATAATAATAACAGAAATCACTCAAATGTCCCTGGTCAAAAAGTTTACATTCCCTGGAATGTTTGGCCATGGTGACAAGGTGACACACACAGGTTAAAATGGGAATTAAAGGTTAATTTCCCACATCTGTGGCTTTCTAAGTACAGTAACAATTAGTGTGTGTATAGTTAGTGTGAGTTAACTCTCACATGGATGCATTGAGCAGGCTAGATACTGAGGCATGTGAAGCAGAAGAGAAATGTCAAAATATCTGCATAACAAGGTAACTTTATATAGATAGAAAAGGATATAAAAAGATATCCAAAGCCTTGAATATGCCAGTCAGTACTGTTCAATCCATTATTAAGAAATGGAAAATATAGGGATAACTTCATACCAAGCCAAAGTCAGGCAGACCAAGAAAGATTGCAGCCACAAGTGTCAGAAGAATTGTTCGGGATACAATTAAAACTCACAGGTAACCTCAAGAGAATTACAGGCTGCTATGGAAAAAGATGGTGTGGTTGTTTCAAGGAGCACAATACAATGATACTTGAACAAAAATAAGCTGCATGGTTGGGTTGCTGGAGAGAAACCTTTACTGTGCCAATGCCACAAAAAAGCCATTACAATATGCCCAACAATACCTTGACATGCTTCACCAGGCATGTTATAATATTTTCTAACTGCTGTACAGTTTCCTGTAACCATGATGTTGCCATCAAACAAGTGATTATTCACTCATTGGATAGTTCAGTCCAAAGTTTCAATCAAGTTGATCAGCTAGAAAGGTAACAAAAATACTTTTGTGCTGTCTATTAAGTTAACTCTCAGTTCTGGGAATCCTATGTCATATATTAATTGTTTGTTCGTGTTATA